AATATGATAAAATTTACTATTTAAATCAATTTAAATGAAATAATAATTTGTGATCGATGAAAGTAATTAAATTATATTATGAATCTAATAATTTTATTAGTGAGGTTTTTTTTACCCATAATTTAACGGGAAAATTGGTCTAGGGTCTCTCTCTCACTTTTCATAATGGAAGAGATTTACAAAATTATTTTTTGATGTCTAAGATCCCTAAACATACAACAGAAAAATTTCAGTCCTTTACCCAGTGGAGATTCCCGGCCTTGTTCTCCTTCTCTCCTTTCCTCTCATCGCAATCGCATACATCTTCGTCTCCGAAGCCCTCGCGATCCAGGCGCTCATCTTCATCTCCTACGTTGGACTAAAGATCCGTGACATCGAGCTACTTTGTCGGCTCTGGACATGTGTTTTGGTGCAGCGTTGATCCAGGTTCGCTTCCGACGGTGCTGGGTTATACTCTGTGATATTTTTAATCGGCTCTCGTTGCGTCAATAGTATTTCGCTTAAGTTCACTTCTGAAGATTCTTCTAGGTGAAGTCATCTTTGTTGAAGATTACAGTTTATATCTAACACAGTAATTATTTTGTTTGATGAACTTCCAATAAAGATAGATACCAGTATGGAGTCAAGTACTTGGTGTGGTTCTACTTTGTTCTAGGTTACACGGTACAGTTCTGTGTATTTGTTCTCTTTTAGCATTTCTAATTATGTTTTGACAAAAAGCAATACATTGACTATTGAAATGTTGGTGTGCTGTTGTACTGGAGGATCTGAATCCTATATTCTTAAGTTCACAAAAATAGAAATTGAAGCCAAGTGTAGATTAATGAGAAAAGTGATCTTCTGGTTGAAGCTAGAGAAATTCTCTGATTTTTTAACTGAATTTTCTCTGAGTTGAAACTAGAGAAATTCTCTGGTTTTTGAACTCAATCACCAAGTTCTGTTCATAAAAATACAACTTTACTGTAAATAGAGAGAATTTCTCTGGTTTGTCTGGACCAGAGAAATTCGTGGGTTTGTGGGTTTGTTAGACATGGATTTAATTGTAGTTAATAGAGCCAGAGAAATATGCAAAGTCAAAGAAATTTTCTGGATAGCCATACAAATTTTCTTTCCACAATTTTCTCTAGATTTATTTGGTACTCAGAGAAATTTCAATTTTCTCTGGAGAGAATTTCTTTGGAACTTAAATTTCTCTGGATTTCAATTTTCTCTGGAGAGAATTTCTCTGGGACTGAAATTTCTCTGGATCCTGTTAAGGGACCTTAGACATCATGAAAATATTTAATGTCCTACTCCATGCCTCTTTAGAGGTTGCTACTATTGAAATCTTCTCAAAGCTTGACTCATCAATGCCTTGATAGAGTAGATACAAGGCCTTTTTTATCTCTCTTTCTTGAATCTTTTAACGCCGTCTTCTGAGCTTCATTTAAATTTCCTTCATCTTCGAGGGTAGCTAGCTCATCATATCCTCGATCCACTAACTCCCACAAATCTTGTGAGGCTAGTAGGACGTGCATTTGAATACTCCAATTTTCATGGTTCTCCTTACTGAGTTTTGGAAACTAGGGTTGAAAGAAATTATTTGTGTTGGCCACTTGTTGAATTTAAGAAACCTATAAATTTTCGGGATGGAATTTTCAAATTCTGACTGTACAGATGTGTCTGGAATATTTCAAATAGTTGGAAAGCAATATTGGATCACCAAAAACGGACTTCAAACGACTTAGATCTAGCAAAAAATAATTGAACGACTCAAACTGGCAGAATCTGGGACTTCTGAGAAGCACCGGATAATTTTTTTGGATCAGATGACGTCAGCGTAACGTCAGCGGCGTGGGTCGGCTCGTCTACGACTTGGCGGTGCGGCTCCCTGCGGCTCTGCTCAGCTCGTGACTCGGCTCCGTTTGTGGTTCAGCTCGGCTTATGGCACGACTTAACGGCTCAGATGACGTCGTCAATGACGTCAGCTCTTGGATACGGGTCCGGATTTAGGCTAGTGGATCGAATCGTACGTCAGACGGGTCGGACTCTACAATCCAGGCGAAATATAAATATTGTACACATTTACTTAGTGTTGCATTTCTAGGGGGTACTATTCATCTAAAATAACATGCTAACAAAGATTTACAAAGTTAACAACCTAATATTAGAAGTCAAATGCAATTAGGGGTTTCATCAACTGGTGTTTGCAAACATTTTCATATAATCATATACGTGCACAAAATTATGTAGTGATTATATTATTAGAAAAAGAACAACAATTTACTACTAGTGAATGTCCAGATTTTTTTACAAATGGTTCACGAAGGTTTTGCACTGCAATGTCAAATTTTTTTAAGAAATACTACTAGAAACAGGATTTTAAAGGAATTTGAAAATATTAAAAGTAAATTATTTGATCTTCAAAAATTTGAATAGAAGAGTTTGTTTAACATCTAATCTGTGGTCAAATAATGATTTAGAATATCAATGTATCACTATATATTTTATTGATAATGATTGAAAATTAAATAAAAGAAGTATTTCATTTAGATTAGTTAAACTTCCATACACTAGTCATTCGCTTGATGTAGAAATAAGAAATATATTACATGATTTAAGTGGGCTTTGCAAAATAAAATATTTAACATTAATTTAGATAATGCAACATATTACAATTAAACTGTAACCCATTTGAATTCAACTTTACAATTACTTATTTGGTGATTTATTTCATATTCGTTGTTGTACTCATATTTTAAACTTAATTGTTAAAAAAGCTATGCATGTATACGAGACTTCTGTATTAGTAATAAAAAATACAATTCTTACTATTACATCTTTTGCTAATCGAAATTCAAAATTCAGAAAAATTTGTCAACAAAAAGGTATGCCATTTAAAAAATTAATTTTAGATATAGACGGCAGGTGGCGTTCTACGTATAATATGTTAAAGAGAGCTTGTAAACAAATAAAAGCAATAGATTTATTTTTTTCAACAACATCAATAGGAAGAGTACTGACTCCCACAGAACTAAATAGGTGCCAAGTAGTCTTATACAAAGATTTTCTAAAAAATTTTGATCTAGGATTTGTCTAATTTTCTTATATATATATATATATATATATATATTTATTTATAGTTTATCTTCAAATTTAAACTTAATTTGTTTTTATCTATATCTTATATTTACAGAATCCACTCTTACTCTTAATTTTCAGTTCAACTTTTTTTTCTTCTAAAATTTATTTAATTAAATATAGTAATATCACTAAATATATTATTTCAATACCCATCTAAATAAATATCATAGTATTTAATTGTTAATTTTTAGCATGTTTAACATTATTTATCATTTTTTATTACTTGCCCGTGCATAGCACAGATTACCGCTAATATTAAATGAAGGGAACGGTGTATTTTTTTATCAAATAAAAAGAGCATTTAACATTTCGTATATGACCATTAGTAGATGACTGAATGAACAACCTCCCAAACAATCAGATTTTGGGATAAATATGATGAGAATTTTCCCTTTATCGAACGACTGACAGAATTAATGAAAATCATTAAAATACATTATGTTAAATTAAACTTTTATCAACTTTTTATTTAAATTTAATAAAAAATTTGATTAATCGTTAGAGTTGCTGGTAAGAAGTAAAATTTATCAAAAATGATTGAGAAAATTTATCAAAAATAATTGAGAACTCTAAAAAGAGAATTTTAAAGGAGTGTTAAATAGATGAGGCCCACTTAGAGCATCTCCAATAATATTTTTTATTCAAAAAGTAAATATAGAGGAGGTCACTATTCATTCAAACTTCAATTACAAACCTTCATTTCCTTCATTCAAACTCCAATAAAAAAGTAATTTTTGTTCATTAATAAATATTTAATTTTAAAATTTTTGTAAAACATATTTAATATTATACTCATTTTAAAGGTATGATTTTATACTTTTTATTGATGTCATTTTTATAAAAATTAAATTTACACATTAAAAGTTATTTCGAATATAATTAAGAAATATAGAGTGAATAGTGTTTTAGAGTCTCCTCCATTTTTTCATTCTCCCTCTATATTTGGAGGATCAATTCATCCTCCTCCATTTGGGAGGAGGATATAGAGGATGGGCTGGAGTTGTTTTTGAAAGAGGATTCTCCATATTTAAAGATATAGAGGATGGGTTAGAGATGCTCATCTCCAATGCATCCTCTATATTTGAAGATATAGAGGATTTGTTGCTCTAACCCATCCTCTAAATCCATCTCTATTTGGAAGGAGGATGAGTTGATCCTCCAAATATGAAGAGAGGATGAAAAATTGAGGATGTCCTCCAAAATACTATTCATTTTATATTTTTTATTATATTACAAATAACTTTTAATATGTAAATTTAATTTTTATAAAATTGACATCATTAAAAAATATGAAATCATACCTTTAAAATGAGTATAATATTAAATATATTTTACAAAAATTTTAAAATTAAATATTTGTTAATGAACAAAATTTATTTTTTGATGAAGGGAGGATGAAGTGTTTTGAAGATTTATGGTTGAAGTTTAAATGAATAGTAACATACTCTATATTTACTTTTTGAATAAAAAAAATTATTTTCATCTCTTGATGAGAGGATTGGGTTAGAGATGCTCTTATAATATGATATATGTACTTTTTATTTATTTTATTTTTTTACCACATGAGTAAAGTTTTCTTTAGATTTTAAATATTATAACTCTCTGGTTTCGTTTGGGAAGTTAAAAGTCAATTTTTTTAATTATTTTAGTCATAAAAAATAAAATAGACTTTTTAGCCTAATAAAATAAAACATCACATTTAATCCATAATCATTACATTATTTCTCTCATAAACCAAATTTTTTAACCCCAAACTAAAACAACTAAAAAAATTAAAAAGCCAACACACTTCTCCAACCAAACCTCAATCATTACGCAAAATCATATATCCGCCAAAAAGCGAGGGGCATATACAAAAGCACACTTTCGACGAAACTTCGCCCCCGCGCGTCCCTCTTCATGTAAAGTCTCTCTGATTTGAAACTTTCAAGCCATTTAAATCACTCAACTCTCTTCCGCGATCTTCTCACCACCAATGACTTCGCGGCCACCACTCCTCCGCCGCCACAACTGCGGCCAACTTCCTCCGAACTCCGTGGCGCATTCCGAACTAGTGCGCCGACGAGGCGGTCTGATCTCCGTGCCAGGTGGTAAACTGACGCTGCCGCCGGAGATTACACGGAGGTTCACGAAATTGTTGCTGAACGTGAATATACAGGGAAGTTTGGGGCCGGTGCAGGTGGTGATGTCGCCGGAAAACGCCGTCGGAGATTTGATAAAGGCGGCGATAGAGATCTACGTGAAGGAGATGAGGCGGCCCTTGTTGAATGAATCCGATCCTCGGCATCTCGAGCTTCACTATTCGCAGTTTAGCTTGGAAAGTAAGGCTTGTTTTTGGAAAGTTGGCTTTTAGCCTTTTTTTTGGTTTTCGCCAAAGTCAAAATTAGCTTTTTTGAATTTTTTTTCATTTGAAAAGTTATTTTTTTAAGTTCATGTGTCAAAATATGTTATATGAATGAAGTTGTAAATATTTTAAATTAAATGGGATTTATGTGGTTATTTTATTATGATTTGACATCATAAATAAATATTAATAAAAAAATATCAAAAGTTATTTTTTATCAACTTCTCAAATTATTTGTTTAAAAAAATAAAAAATTTAATTAAAAGTCAAAAAATTATTTTTTCGTATTTTTTTTTTCAATTTAGGCTAAGTTTGGCTATAAAGAAAAAAGTGTACTTATTTCATCTTTTTATCTTTTTTGGATCATATCAATCAATATCTCATTTCTACTTTTTCTACACATAATACAAAAAAAAGTCAAAAAGTACACTTATTTAGTCTTCCCAAACTAGCTCTTACTACTATTACTGTTTTTGTTCTATCATTCGTGGTATACATTTTTAAATTATAAAAAATAAAAAATAAAAATCTGTGAATTATATTTTCAAAAATATTATTATCATATCATCAAATTTTCATTGAATACTAACCTATTTTCAACCTAAGTGTTAATACGACAATGAAAAATTTATGAAAAACATATAATGTGTTTGATTTGAGTTTTTTGAATTAAATTTTTTGAAAATTAAATTTTTAAATTTTCGTATTTTTTTATTTTTAGTTTCAAGTTAAAATTTTAGAAATATAATAATAATATGACAGCCAATCGGTCCAGTTTTGTACAGCATGGCCTCGTTTGGCAAGAGGCTATTTTAGCCAATTAGCCAAAAAGTTACTAAATTAGCCAAAAAGTCAACAACCCATACCAAAAAATCAAAGATTTTCTTTTCTCTCTACTTTTTGCACATCTTTTCGTAATTAGCCAAAAAGTCATCCCAAACATACAAGTTTTTTTTACCTACCTTTTTAGCCAAATAGTCAAAAAGTTACTAAATTAGCCTGTTCCCAAACGAGGACTACGAGTTTCCGTTATGTAATGGAACTGGCCGGTTTGCTTGCAATTTAGGATTAACACAATTAATTCGGCTTCGGCTATATTCGAATTGTAAGGTAAGAATCTAGTTACAAATTTTTTAGATTGCTGTGAATCGACTATGATTACTAACGAGAAATGATGGTCGAAAATAATTATTAATAACTAAAAGTGTTACGATGAATGATAGGATGTGGTGACTCGAGGTGGGTGCCACCAACAAGAGGCAATTGATAGTGGCCAAAAGTGATTGCTCGCTATTAGAAAGAGAAATGAATAAAATGAGGATGGCATGCAATGGTGAGAAAGAGAAATGAATAAAATTTTCAAGACAAGTGAAATTAATTTGTTTTTTTGGTTAAAAAATTTAATAAAATTTATTGATTGTTTAAAAATATATATATATATATATATATATATTTAAATACGACAAGTCCAAAATGATTATAGGTGAGAAATAAAATATTTATAAAAATAGATTAAAAAAATATAAATTCACCCTTATTTTTAAGCAGATAAATGAAATTTTATGTTCATGTGAATTAATTGTCGAAATTAGTTATTCTTATGCAATATATCACGTTCTAGTGAGAATATTAAAAATTCATTTGGCAATGCAGGCTTGAAGGCAGAGGACAAGTTGATAAACTTGGGGTCGAGAAATTTCTATCTGTGCCGGAAACCGACCTCTGTTTCCAATTCAACTTGCTCCGATGAGGCAAAGAAGGTGGCCAAGTCTGCCTTTCCATTCACAAAATTCATGGATTTCTTGCTTTAGCCTTTTAATTTAACTTCTTAGGGGTCCCCAAAACGTTTACCTCGTGCATAAAACCCTGACCAATTGTGAATTTCTCCTCTTAATTCGGCTAATAATTAAAACCAAAAAATGTCGGCCAAGTTTCGATTTCCATTGACAGAGTTCATGGGTTCTGTGTATAGTTTCCATGTTTTCCAGACGATAATGACAACTTGTGTGTTTGTGCCATCTTTTTATCCATTGTAGAAAAATGGTGCTTATATAGCCAAGTGAAGTATTGGGTTGGGGGGGGGATGATTCCATCTGCACATTAGGGTTATATTTATATTATGAATTTATTGAAATAAAAGACAAAAAAAAAAAGAAAAAAAGAAATGAAATGAGCTATTTTTATATTTTGAATCTTCTGCACATTAAAAATACGTCATATGTGACAATACATGCAACTCATATTCAACTCGATCTAATTTTTAGTTAGTATACCATATCTTTAATTTTGACTATTTATCTTTACTTAAAAAATAAGTGAAAGCGAACATTCAATATAACATACATAATGCCATTTCTAATCTTTTATAAATTGTTTCGTTAAATTTAAATTTGATAAAAAAAATTAGTTAAAATGATACTCTAATTGTTTCATTGGATCTATATTAAAAGAAATGAGAGTTAATTTTTCATCAAATCCACAGAGTTTTTGATTTTTTATCAAATTTTGTAAGTGGTAATTGGGCCGGACGTGCTCTCAGATAACTGCGCTTGTAATAAAATTTGATGAAAATTTTAAATTTATTAGAATGTATCATATCAAATTAAAGTTTTTATCAAATTTTCACTTAAATTTAATAAAAGATTGAAGATGCTCTGATTCAACTAAAAATGCCTACTTTGAATGGAGTTATTATTCCAACCGCTTCCCTTTAAAATAAAACATTATAAATCAAAAGGCCTTATTTGACCAGTGATTTTTTTTGTCAAAAAATTAAAAATTTATTAAAAAAGTCAAAAAGTCAACAACCCATATCAAGAAATCAAAAATTCTATTTTCTCTCTACTTTTTACATATCTTTTCGTAAAAAGTTAAAAAATCATCCCCAACATACTAATTTTTTTTACATTATATATTAGTCAAAAAGTAACTAAAAAAGTCTGTTCCCAAACAAGTTAATCATAATCGAACATAAAAATAAAGTAACAAGTATTAAATTATAAAAAATAAAAGGAGTAAATTATTTTTAAGGGGAGTATTGCCAGTTTTAATAGACTGATTTATTGTCTAATAAGTCATGTGAGAATTAGTGGTGTTTTGAAAAGTTGGCAAAAAACTGACTTTTTGACTTTTTAGTAACTTTTTTGACAAAAAAAAAAACTGGCTTTTTTGACTAAAAAAGTTGACTTTTTAAGCTAAAAAAGCTAAAAAGCCAAAAAGTTGACTTTTTTAGTTTCTTCCCAAAGTGCCCCTTAAAAACGTTTTTATTAAATACTATTAAAAAATATCACTAAGTGGTGTTTTGAAAAATTGATAAAAAACTGACTTTTTATGTTTAAAAAATTAGTTTTTTTTGTATAAAAAAACTAAAAAACTAAAAAGTTAGCTTCTTTTAACTTCTTCCCAAATTATCCGTAATTGTTAATTTTCAGTGACGGTATGAAAATTGTCATAAAAAATGTCACTAATTGTAGGTTTTAGTGACGGTTTAAAAAAATTTGTCACAAAAAAATTACTAATTGTAAGTTTTAAAGATAATTTATAAAAATGGTGATAAAAAAGTCACAAATTATCAACTTTTAACAATACATATAAAAAATGTTAGGGAGATTTATTTATAAGTCTTTTTTCAGACACTTATAGTAGGCTAAGTCCTGTGTAATTTCTTATAGAGTCTCAAGTCCTATTTAGATAGGAATATATTCCACAAGATCCTACACAAACGTAACGTAACGTGACACCTATATAAACGTAACGTAACGTGACACATATATAAACGTAATGTGACACCTGCATAAACGTAACGTAACGTGTCACGTTACGTTTCGCAAACTTAATGAGTTTTTATTTTTTTAAATTGAATGTGAAAATGTTGTTGGTTTATGTTGGTGTAACGTTACGTTTCATATAAATATGACCTATGGTAACATTCAATTTCCATAGATCATAGGTGTCACGTTACGTTTATGTAGGTGTCACGTTATGTTACGTTTATGTAGATATGATCTATGGTAACATTCAATTTCCCATATACGAAATTGAATGTTGCCATAGATCATAGGTGTCACGTTATGTTTATGTAGGTGTCATGTTACGTTACGTTACGTTTATGTAGATATGATCTATGGTAACATGCAATTTCCTATATAGGTGTCACGTTACGTTACGTTTATGTAGGTGTCACGTTACGTTACGTTTATATAGATATGATTTATGGTAACATTCAATTTCCTATATATAGTTTACTATTATTTATGATATTAAAGGATGGCGACCGTAATACTTCTTTCTTTCATTCTAAGGCCACCCAAAGACATAAAGAGAAGAAGATTGACGGCATAGTCGATTCCTGTGGGATCTAGCAAGCGGAGCACCGTGTGATGGAGGATAATTTCGTGACTTATTTTCAAGAGTTATTTTCAGCAGGCGTGGGGTTGACAATGGACCCGGTGCTCCAATTGGTTCAAAGGAGAATTTCAGTTCGTAGTGCTGTTACTCTAAGTCGCCCTTTCTCTACACTTGAAGTACACCATGCGCTTCTCCAAATGCATCCAACGAAGGCTCCTGGGCCTGATGGTAAGCCTGCTTTATTCTTTCAAAAATTTTGGCACGTGATGGGTCCTAGTGTGAGTAATGCTGTGCTTAGGGTTTTGAATGGGGTGAATGATATTTCACAGATTAATCATACATTTATTGTGCTTATCCCTAAAGTTAAAAAGCTCCAGCATATGTCCGAATTTCGGCCAATCAGTCTGTGTAATGTTGTCTACAAGCTTATTGCCAAAGTGTTGGCCAATCGCTTTAAAGAGGTTTAGCCATCAGTAATTTCTGACACTCAGAGTGCTTTTATACCAGGCCGAATGATCACAGATAATGCGCTATTGGCTTTCGAAGTTTTTCACTTTCTTAAGAACAAGCAGGCCGGAAGAGATGGATTTCTCGCACTGAAACTAGATATGAGTAAAGCTTATGACCGAGTGGAATGGCCATTTATTCATCAAATGATGCTCCAATTGGGTTTTCCGCAGTGTTTTGTGCAACTCCTCATAAGTTGTGTGTCGACGGTATCATTTTCGGTTCTTCTTAATGGAAAGCCTTCAAGATTGTTTCGTCCAACACGGGGGCTCAGACAGTGGAATCCCCTTTCGCCATACTTGTTCACTATTTGTGCGGAAGGGATGTCGGCGCTTCTCACACATGCTATGGTAAACAACCAGTTGTCGGGGATTTCTCTTTGCCGCGGTAGTCCACGATTATCGCATTTGTTTTTTGCTGATGATAGTCTTCTATTTGCAGCTACCACTGAAGCTGAAGCCGAGGTGTTACGAGATGTCCTTCAAATATATGAGCAAGCCTCGGGGCAGAAAATTAATTTCCAAAAATCTGCTATTTGTTTCAGCAAAAATACGGACTTGGTTACCCAGCAGGTGGTGACATCAATTCTTGGGATGGGTTCCATGGCGACGTACGGGAACTATTTGGGGTTACCGTATTGTGTGGGTCACTCTAAACGATCCGTTTTGGGTTTTGTCAAAGAGCGAGTATGGCATCGTTTGAATGGGTGGAAGGAGAAATCATTATCGGTTGCGGGTCACGAGGTCCTTATCAAGTCTGTTGCTCAAGCAATCCCCACTTATATTATGTCCTGTTTTCGATTACCTGCTGGTCTGTGCCATGAAATTGAATCAATGGTGTGCAATTATTGGTGGGGACAAAAGGAGGAAGCCTGTAAAATTCATTGGACTAACTGGAAGCATTTGTGCAAATCTAAATTGAGTGGAGGGATGGGGTTTCGCTGCCTTAATGAATTTAATACAGCTATGTTGGCCAAACAATTTTGGCGAATTGTGAAACGGCCTCACTCGTTGATTGCAAGGGTGTTAAAAGCCATGTATTTTCCTCACACTTCGTTCCTTGATGCGTTGCTTGGAAGCAACCCATTTTTCACCTGGAGGAGTATAGCGGGCGCTCGACATTTACTTAATGTTAGGTTGAGATGGCGAGTGGGAAACGGTGAGAGCATTTCGGTTAAGTCTGATAAATGGGTTCCCCGGCCTCATACTTTTAAGGTCATTTTGCCACCTTCCACTCTCCCGGACAATGCAAAGGTTAGTGAGTTGATTGATTCCCAACTTGGTATCTGGAACTCTAAGTTTCTTAATCAACAGTTTTTGGGCATTGATGGTGAAGCTATTCAATGCATCCCTATCTGTCCAACATTACCTCCGGATAAATTAGTTTGGCATTTTACGCGAAATGGTGAATTTTTAGTGCGATCGACATATCATTTGTGTGTGGATATGGGCTGCTCGGATGGCCTTGGTGTCACCTCCAATGATGGTCTGTCAAAGAAGCAGTTTTGGACTGCTCTATGACAGTTGCAGATTCCGACTAAAATCAAGATATTTGGCTAGAAAATGTGTCTTGGGTTGTTACCAGTGCGAGCAAATTTGCGGAAAACGACATATCGTGACTGTGGATTTGTAACAACCCTCATACTGTCTACTGATTAATGACTGATCGATTACCGATAATCACCGATTACTGTTAAACGAAACGGATAATGACTGATAACTGACTGATAATTGAACTGACTGACTGAAACTGGAAACCGAATTGATTGAGTATATGTTAGTTAAATTTATGTAGGTGTCACGTTACGTTTATGTAGGTGTCATGTTACGTTACGTTACGTTTATGTAGATATGATCTATGGTAATATGCAATTTCCTATATAGGAAATTGCATGTTACAATAGATCATAGGTGTCACGTTATGTTTATATAGGTGTCACGTTACGTTACGTTTATATAGATATGATTTATAGTAACATTCAATTTCCTATATATAGTTTACTATTATTTATGATATTAAAGGATGGCGACCGTAATACTTCTTTCTTCCATTCTAAGGCCACCCAAAGACATAAAAAGAAGAAGATTCACGGCATAGTCGATTCCTGTGGGATCTAGCAAGCGGAGCACAGTGTGATGGAGGATAATTTCGTGACTTATTTTCAACAGTTATTTTCAGCAGGCGTGGGGTTGACAATGGACCCGGTGCTTCAATTGGTTCAAAGGAGAATTTCAGTTCGTAGTGCTGTTACTCTAAGTCCCCCTTTCTCCGCACTTGAAGTACACCATGCGCTTCTCCAAATGCATCCAACGAAGGCTCCCGGGCCTGATGGTAAGCCTGCTTTATTCTTTCAAAAATTTTGGCACGTGGTGGGTCCTAGTGTGAGTAATGTTGTGCTTGGGTTTTGAATGGGGTGGATGATATTTCACAGATTAATCATACATTTATTGTGCTTATCCCTAAAGGTAAAAAGCTCTAGCATATGTCCGAATTTCGGCCAATCAGTTTGTGTAATGTTGTCTACAAGCTTATTGCCAAAGTGTTGGCCAATCGCCTTAAAGAGGTTTTGCCATCAATAATTTCTGACACTCAGAGTGCTTTTATACCAGGCCGAATGATCACAAATAATGTGCTATTGGCTTTCGAAGTTTTTCACTTTCTTAAGAACAAGCAGGCCGGAAGAGATGGATTTCTCGCACGGAAACTAGATATGGGTAAAGCTTATGACCGAGTGGAATGGCCATTTATTCATCAAATGATGCTCCAATTGGGTTTTCCCAGCATTTTGTGCAACTCCTCATGAGTTGTGTGTCGACGGTATCATTTTCGGTTCTTCTTAATGAAAAGCCTTCAAGATTGTTTCGTCCAACACAGGGGCTCAGACAGGGGAATCCCCTTTCGCCATACTTGTTCACTATTTGTGCGGAAGGGATGTCGGCGCTTCTCACACATGCTATGGTAAACAACTAGTTGTTGGGGATTTCTCTTTGCCGCGGTAGTCCACGATTATCGCATTTGTTTTTTGCTGATGATAGTCTTCTATTTGCGGCTGCCACTGAAGCTGAAGCCGAGGTGTTACGAGATGTCCTTCAAATATATGAGCAAGCCTCGGGGCAGAAAATTAATTTCCAAAAATCTGCTGTTTGTTTCAGCAAAAATACGGACTTGGTTACCCAACAGGTGGTGACATCAATTCTTGGGGTGGGTTCCATGGCGACGTACGGGAAGTATTTGGGGTTACCGTATTGTGTGGGTCACTCTAAACGATCCGTTTTGGGTTTTGTCAAAGAGCGAGTATGGCATCGTTTGAATTGGTGGAATGAGAAATCATTATCGGTTGCGGGTCACGAGGTCCTTATCAAGTCTGTTGCTCAAGCAATCCCCACTTATATTTATGTCCTGTTTTCGATTACCTGCTGGTCTGTGCCATGAAATTGAATCAATGGTGTGCAATTATTGGTGGGGACAAAAGGAGGAAGCCCGTAAAATTCATTGGACTAACTGGAAGCATTTGTGCAAATCTAAATTGAGTGGAGGGATGGGGTTTCGCTGCCTTAATGAATTTAATACAACTATGTTGGCCAAACAATGTTGGTGAATTGTGAAACGGCCTCACTCGTTGATTGCAAAGGTGTTAAAAGCCATGTATTTTCCTCACACTTCGTTCCTTGATGCGTTGCTTGGAAGTAACTCATCTTTCACCTGGAGGAGTATAGCGGGCGCTCGACATTTGCTTAATGCTGGGTTGAGATGGCGAGTGGGAAACGGTGAGAGCATTTCGGTTAAGTCTGATAAATGGGTTCCCCGGCCTCATATTTTTAAGGTCATTTTGCCACCTTCCACTCTCCCGGACAATGCAAAGGTTTGTGAGTTGATTGATTCCCAACTTGGTATCTAGAACTCTGAGTTTCTTAATCAACAGTTTTTGGGCGTTGATGGTGAAGCTATTCAATGCATCCCTATCTGTCCAACATTACCTCCGGATAAATTAGTTTGGTATTTTACGCGAAATGGTGAATTTTCAGTGCGATCGGCGTATCATTTGTGTGTGGATATGGGCTGCTTGGATGGCCTTGGTGTCACCTCCGATGATGGTCTGTCAAAGAAGCAATTTTGGACTGCTCTATGGCAGCTGCAGATTCCGACTAAAATCAAGATATTTGGCTGGAAAATGTGTCTTGGGTTGTTACCGGTGTGAGAAAATTTGTGGAAACGACATATCGTGATTGTGGATTTATGTGAGTCGTGTGGTGATGAAGTGGAAACCGTGAGCCATTGCTTTCATAATTGCTGGTTTGCACGGCAAGTTTGGATGTCCAGCTCGATTTCGGTGGTTCTCAACGTTATGCCTATTAATAATTGTTTTCAGTGGGTTTGCAATCTTATGACAAAGTATGATATGAAGTTGATGGCTTTATTTTTTACTATTTGTTGGGGTTTATGGAATCAGCGGAACTCCATTCTCTTTGAAAATAAGGCAAGAACCATAGATGATGTTATGGCTTTTGCTGAGAAGTATGTTACAAAGTATGCTCAAGTTCACCAATGCAGCCAAATTCCAGTGCATCGTATGCAGGTTCGAAGGCGGGTTGCACCACAAGAAGGTGTGTTTAAATTGAATTTTGATGGTTCGGTTCAGAAGATCCAAGCACTTGCTGGTATTGGGATTATTGTTCGTGACAGTAATGGATTGATTATTGCTTCTATGGTTGAGCAAATTCATTATCTGGAAGATGTGGATTGTGTGGAAGCTTTGGGTGCCGTTAAAGCGCTTCAATTTGGATATGACTTGGGGTTGGATAATATTCAGCTTGAAGGAGATTCTCTCAACGCGGTGTCTGCAATTCAAGGAAAGACAAAAAATTTGTCGTGTTATGATCACTTCGTAGATGTGGCTCAGGCACTCTTCTTGCAGTTCCATTCCTCATCCGTCTCGCATATTTATAGAGATGGCAATTCTGTGCCTCATTGTTTAAGTAGGTTAGCTTTTGATTTTGATTCACCTCACATTTGGATGGAAGAAGTTCCTCTCTCCTTAATGGCGTTGGTGGCTTCGGAGGCTCCCTTTTCTTTGTAATTGCTTTTCCTGTCTAAAAAAAAAAAAAAAAAAAAAAAAAAAAAAAAAAAACTAATATTGAGGGTAAATGTGTCAACAAACTTCCCATAAGACTTATGAAAAAATAAATTTTTTAGTAGAATCATATGTAGCATAAGTCTCCCGAATAGAACTTATAAATAATTTTTACAAAATGTTACAAAAAAAATTATTTTAATCAACAATAAAATTTGATAAAAATTAAATCTACGACCTATGAATAATTTGTTCTATTTTTAGGCTTCCAATCCTTCACCGGGTTTAAAAAAAGACGGGTGGGAGCAGGCGAAAATGGGTGATCTACTCGCATGGCTATTGTTCTTCTTCGTCCTCATTATTATCATCGTTATTGTTGTTTACCAGGTATATTTTCCCCCAAATTCCCCACAAACTCTAATCTATGTGTTCCAATTCATAAGGATTGATTTTGGAACCATGTGCTGCCTTTTTTACTCGCATTTTATATGCAGAGACTCGTATTCATGATCTGCAACTTGAGAATTCCAAATTTAGGGTTTTTTTCATGTTACCCATCTTATATTTTGGGGGAAATTTTACTGGGTAATGCTCATAATGCCCGAAGAATTTGAAAATCAGTTACTATAGAGTATGATTTTGATTAACTGATTATATACTACTCTTATAGAAATTTGCATGAATAGAGATTGTTTAAGTACCTTAAATATGTCATCTTTATGGTTAGATTCTCTATAATCTAACCTTATTAACCTTCCATGCTTATGCTCATATTCCAACATATTTGTTTACATTGTTGCTTATGATTTAAAGAAAAATATGCATGCCTTGATGGATGAATTTTCTCATTATATGACTCACTAATGTCTCTTGTTTGTTATATGTTATGTTTGCACTTGGACTTGTTAGTTTCTGATGAATTTATGTCATTTGCTGATCATGTTTCTACTTTTTTTTAGATGATTTGGAATTCATTCCCTTTTTAAGGAATCAAATCACTAATCACGTAACACTTTAGAATTAGTTGTGCTGCCTTTTGTACTTAGTTCACTTTAACGAGACAGTGCATGCAGATAATACTTGTCTGTAGACCACCTTTTTTTATTTTGATACTTTATTTGTGACCCGCCTTCTCATCGAGAATAACAAATTATTACGTTTCTAAGAATTTGAAGCTGTCTCATAGACCCAGTAATGAATACTGTGGGTACTTGTATCAAGCTTAATATGTGGTAAGCCCTACAGGTGCCACATCACCAAAATCCCATCCACGTGGCAGACCAATAAGGCACCACGTCGGGCATGTTGTATGTTTGCTACATGGCGAGCCCTACGGGCGTCATGTGCCAAAGTAGCCAAGACTATATGCTTAGCCTAAGCGGGAGCATACATATAAGCCCAAATATATCTAGATATGAAGAGCACTGTAACAGGCAGCATCATGGCCCCAGGGCCCATGGTCCTTCATACCTCGCTCCAAGGCCAAACAACAATACAATTAGCCTCCGGCTCACTTGGACTTGGATTGATAAACAATGGCTCTCCTAAACATTGAGATAAGCCTGCGGCCCATTCTCCTACTTGGTCGCTTGGAGGCGAGCCCCTGGCTCTCTTAAACACTAAGGTGGGCCCTGGCCCATTTATCTACTTGGATGCCTAGGTTGGGAGCAGGACCCAGGCACTACTGCTCGGGATCATCAGAGGATACTGGACTGGCGGCTGAGGTCATGGGATCGTCGAGATGTTTGTCTTCTTGCTAAGACAACTCCATCTCGACCAGGCTTGGAGAAGAGGCAACAATGACCTTACGTTCATGTCATCCGATGCATATACGAAACGTTACTTTGTGCCTGTCATGAAACGTTGCTCTCCGCCTGCCGTCAAGCCACAGACGGCAGAAGGGCTTATATCACTTCTGGCAGAGTTGAGGAGAATGAGCCACCTGTCCAACAGTTTGCTTGGGCTCCAATACTCCTGCGGCCTATATAACGTATCGTATATGCAGCGAGACAGAAGAACAACAAGACAACCAAGTTTCATACTTAAACACCCTCTCTCACTTTGCATTAATATTCAAGGTCTATCACTGCCAACCTCTCCCTCTCCAAGCTTGCCTTGACCTCCTCCTCTCCACCTCCGGTGATCTCAGGCCATTGAAGTGCCCGCCATCTTCCCGGACTACCTCTAATCACACCTCTCACCCACAAATACCATGTTCCATTATATGGTACCTGTATTGTAGTTAACAAAGAGAGAAAGAGATTTAACTATCCCCTATTTTTGGAGATCAGCTTCCAAAAGAATTAAAGCTTTAATGGAAAGTTCTTTTTTTATCAGGGACAAACCCTCCTTTTGCTTTTGTTTATTAGAGAAGGTGTTATCAGAAGAAACTTGTTAAAGTATCTGATTCAATGGGTTGGGGCTCTTATCAGAGTTATGAATGTAATTGAAAGGGAGGTGTTGCCAATTTTTCTGCTTTGTAATTTTGACCTTCATTATTCTCAATATAATCAAATATTATTATAGAAATGATGGGGTAATCAAATACTTTAACATGTAATGCAGTTTAAGAATGATTTATTTTTATTTTTTTAAGAAAAAAGTTGAAGTTATGTAAGAAAACAAGTTTTTTTGGAATTACATAGTTAAAAAATGTTGTTTGGGGATTGAGCAGGCCCTCGGGTGTTATACTTTTTTTTTGCTCATTGTTTATGAGGTTTGAAAGAATTTGGAATCTGACAATTAAAAGTTTTGTTGCAGCTTATGTGCTTGGCTGATTTGGAGTTCGATTACATCAACCCATATGACTCTGCATCTCGGATAAATAAGATGATTATGCCAGAGTTTATCACTCAAGGAGTCTTGTGCTTTCTTTATCTAATAACCGGGCATTGGTTTATGTCACTGTTGAGTGTTCCATACCTATACTACAATGTGAGAGTGTAAGTTTTTATCTCTACACTTGCTCCAAAAATTCAGGTTGTATCTATTTCTAAATGTTATGTGAGTGAAATGCACAACTGATGCATGCATATATTTGTGTCTGGAGAGCTTAGCACCTATCTACTATCGACAGTAATTTGATTTGGCTTAATCTTTGTCTTTATGTCGTGGTTTACAATCAGGTACACATGTATAGCATATGCTTGTTTTTGCTTTATTCCTTCATCTTCATGCTCAGCAGCAATGATATTTAACTTTTTTCAGGCATACATCAGTTACCATACTTCTTTATTAAATATGAGTTTCTTAGGAAGAATTATATGCATTCGATAGTTTTCCAACACCTTAGATGGCTCGGAGATGCGTCATTGGGACCCAAGTTTCAGTGGATTAAGAGAAGTCCTTTGAGACGCATCAAACAGAAAGAAAAATTTGATAGAAATCGTCTGAGTCTTTTCCTGCAAGTTGATCGGTTTCTCATTCTTACTTCCTGAGACTTTTGAGTGCTTCAGATGCAGACCTCATATGTCATGCAGAATTCAAGGCTTTTGTTTAGAAAATATTAACTTCTCATTGTCCCTATCTATTTAATTTGTGACAATAGCACCTTTTCCTTTCAGTTTTTTGAAAGTACTACCAAATCAATGACCTTTCCGGCTGGCTTTGCCTTTCGATTTTAAGTATAAATCACAAATTTTCTTCTGTATCTTTTTTGCATTCTGAGTTCGATTAGGTTCCATATTTCTTGTAGAATGGGCAGCGCAGAAGGCAATCAACATGAGAACTTATTTCAAGATTTTGGTACAGATAAAAGGAGATGCAGGAGTTCCTGTGTTGTGGTTTTATAGAGAAGATTAGTTTCTTAGCCTAGCCAATTTTCCCTTGCTGTAAGTCATTTAATTTGATTTGAAGGGATTAGCCCTTTCTTCATGATTTGAATTCTTAGTGTCTGTGATTCTCCTAAAACATGGTGCTGAGGCATTCCAATGTTAAAAGTTAAAAAAATAAAATAACATACATATATATACCCATACACATGTCCTTTTCTCGTGCAACTGTACTTCTTTCATAAACTTAGTTCTCTGCTTGTTATATATGACATCGACAAGCAGTTGCATTTGCTTCTTCAATGCTTTTGTCCTTTTCCTTTCTACTGTTTCCTCCTCCCCCTCTAATTAACAACATAATGATATTAGGCAGAAATCAGATTTGCTTGATCTGGTAGTTGCGTTGAAAAATCTTGGCCTAAATCCCGTTGGGATAGTTTAATTCTTCATTACAAGCAAGAGGTATATTACATCACTAATTCATGTGACTTTTTTTCTTCCAACTAGAAAAATGTCCGAAAGAAAATTCTTTTTTTACATATTTTTCAAACCGTTAACTTGAAGTATACCTTAAGTTATTTAACATTATGTTTTCTTTGTTAATACTTCTAACTTTTGTTGTAACTTTTTCTTTCCTTATGTTTTCTTTCTGGTACCAAATTACATGGTGAAGAGGTAAGGTAAAGGGGGCCTATAAAAATGGAAAATAAAAAATTTCAGAAGCAATCTCCAAACAACTACATAATGGCATTTTTTGTATATTTCTTGGGTGTTGAATATGATCTTCTAAAGAAAATGCAATGAAATTAATCTCATTCCGGTTAAAAAGAAAAATGGCAAGAGATGGATCTGCGTCGGTTTTCGTAGAATTTCTCAGCTTTAATGCATGTGTTGTTCTTCTACTTGGGCAAGTTATTAGTAATTAAAGTTAAGATGGATTACTAAGCCTCCGTTTGGGAAGTGGGTAGGTTTTTTGGCTTTTTTGACTATTTTAGCCTGGGCTAAAAAGCTTGGTTTGGGAAGGGCTTTTTGGCTTTTTGGTTTTTTTGACTTTTTTTGTGAGAGAATAGTATAATGATTATGGGTTGGATGTGATGTTTTGTTTTTTGTGGCTAAAATAGCCTATTTTGTCTTTTGTGGCTAAAATAGCCAAAAAAACCCACTTTAGTTCTTCCCAAACGGACCCTAAATATTTATTCTGCAGTAAGTTTTTGGATAGTTGTCTTGTTTCAATATTCTGCTTATGCAAAATTTCCCAGGATATTTTTGAAATACAACCAAACAGTTAGAAAATATATTTTAATGTGAAACTTATGATTTTTGCATTACAAAAAAAAAATACCCAGTTTGTTTTCTTTTATCTCATGCATGTGTATGCTTATTTTGCCCATAATATAATGATGCCTGTATTCAATTACCCAACTTATGAATCATGATCTAGTGGTGTGAAATGTTTGGATATCTGAAGTTCCATTATCACCATGAATCAAATCGCTTATGCTTAGTTGTCCCTTTTGTGTTCAGGTACATGCTAAGGCAGCACCTGGTAGACGTAACTGAGATTTTCAACTCCCTACATTGGGAAAAGAAGCGGCGGTTTTTCAAACTTGGCTATCTTGTTTTTCTCCTCTGTATCTCTTTATTTTGGTATGTCAAATTAGGTCTCCTCCTTCAAGAAACTTATTTTTTCAATTTTTCAGACCAACAAGACACGATAGCCTTACAATCTTCCTTGTGCCTATGATGTAGGACAATTTGGAACGCATTGGAAGAAGAAGAGCAAGCGTTCTAACTTACATTGACACTTCATGGAAAAAACAGTGTGTACTGTCCACTGAAGCATGTTATTGAGTGACAGCACTCTTGCTGCTGTTTTATTTTATTTCAAGGCTAGGTCTTCTGTATTTGATATAATTTGAAATTGTTCTAGGGTTTAGTGATAGGCTTCCCTGGCTTCAGTTTTGATTATGATATACCACTTTCTTAAATTGTTGTATGATTGCGGGATATTTGTTGATATTTGTCCAATAACTATAGGTTTGCGGCAAATGTTGATTTGTCTTCGAAGTTCTCTTTGGAACTGTAATATGAGCTTTGTTGCTGCCCTTTCTGCATTTTATGTGAGAGCACCATTTTTTGATTTGTTTTGATGGAGACATTATGCGCGTTTGGAAAGAAAATCAAAATGTTAAATATTTGCTTATTGATTTTTTTCTTTTCGAATTTTTAGGAAATAAAACATGTTTATGCACACAACCGTAACCAGGCCAAAGAGTTCCAAACTTACACATCACCTCTGAAACCTTTGAAAGTAAACCAAACTTTTGGTAGGATGAAGATGAAGACTTATCAGGCTTGGTAAGGGGGCATTAGGTGTATTAGCATAGAGTGACAAAAAATTTCTCTATCTTAAATCTTTATGAAGAGAAGTGCCGAACAACGACTTGAAGCTGACATGTTGAGCAATGATTAATGAGTGTTATTTATTAGTTGTCTTATTTGGTGCAATTTATTAGATGTACTTTTGACTTACTATTATTTTTATTTTGAAATTTTGTGTAAAGATATTTGATGCAATTTATAACTTCATGATTTGTGGGAAAATAACTTAAATTCAAGGGATTAAGGCTGTGTTTGGTTGTGATTTCAAAACATGATTCTACACTATAGTTTGAGTATGATGTTTGTTTAGCGTTTTGGAATCACGTTTCAAACGCTCTGTAGAGAGCTCTATCTCTGCTCTGTCTTAACCGCGCATTTCAGCGTTTTTTAACTTGCAATAAGTTAAATCAAATAGGCCTTTTCAATTGGATCTAGGTTTGGTGTCAACTTGGTTTCTACCATAAAATTTTGAAAAATATTTTTAATTGTTATTCTAAGTATTTCCCATGTCAATAAAAATAAAAATAAAACTTTCTCCATACATGTGCTGTATCCTTGTAAAAATAAAAAATAAAAAATTATGTCAATCATTCAAAAAAGAAATAGAAAATAAGAAGTGTAATGATATCCTACAAACTCATCATATTTATGAAATAAAATTTCACTGCAAGTTAAGAGTCTGTTTGGTATGCTATTTACTTTTGTTTCGTTTTGGTTATTATTATTATTATTATTATTTTCATATTTTTAGAATAAAAAGTTTTAAAACACCTATCATTTTTATTTTTGTACGAAAATAAAATTTTCTAAATTTCATAAATAACTCTTCTGATTTTCTTAAAATGTACTTTATTTAAAAGAATTATAAAAGAATTAGTTCTTTTTAATAATCAACGGTTCAGGGTAAGGACTATTTTGAAAAGTGGGTTAAAAGTCATTTCTTAGCTTTTAATCCACTTCCTTCTCTCACAAAAAAATAAAATAAAAAAGTCAAAAAGAAACTTTTAACTATCTTTCCAAAACATCCCTTAGAATTCCGAGGGTCTAAAATTAGTTCTCTGAGTTTTATTTAGTGGAGAAATGAGGCATTAAACGACTTATCACTAGACAGAGTTACAAACGAATCGAACTGAATCGAGTTTTAGGAGTCCTTTGGGAAGCAAAAAAAAGAAATCAATTTTTAATTTTTTATCCATTTTGAGTCACATTACCTCTCACATTTTTTATCTAGAAAAAGACCAAATAGACTAAAAAAACTAAAAAGTTAATTTTTTACCAACTTTCCAAAACACAACTTAGTATGTTTAGATTTATTTATTAACATTTTAATGAGTTTGAGCTCGAGTTGAATAAAAATTTAACGAACCGAACTCGAGCCGAGTTGGCTTAGGCTTGACTCGAGTTTGAACCTGTTCACGAATCTTAACGAGCTAAGAAATTTATAAATTTAGGCTGTGTTTGGTTATGTTTTTGAAATGTAATTCCACACCTTAGTTTGAGTGCTATGTTTGGTTAGAATTTTTAAAAATTGATTCCACGCCCACTTTTAAAAACATGTCTACCTAGTCATCTTCCTAGATGCCCTCCCGGATGTCCAGCCGGTTGACCGGAATAGTGTTTTTTTTTTTTGCACATGTTATTTTTATATTTTAAATAAAAAATATTTTTGGAATTTTTTTTAATTTTTTTTTTTGAGATTTGAATAGAATTTTGGGTTATGTGTTTGGTTATGAGTTGTAAGTTTTTGAATCAAATATCATATGCTACATCAAAAATTTCAAACTCAATTCAAAACTCATAACCAAACAAAATTTTCACACTCAAATCATTATTTTAAAACTCACAAACTCAAAATACAACTATATTCTCAAATCATAATTCTAAAACTCTACCAAACACTACCTTATACTTGCGTATAAGACTAAAGTTACAATTAAAATTTGATTATACAATTACATATACAATATATATAAACATATTAAAAAAATTAATATTTTATCAAAATAATAATATCTACCACCACCATTATATAAATGTACCAGGTATAGTTAACTATTATTTATATTTATATTTATATTTTTTAAATGTATAAATAACATATTTATCTTATTTTTTATACATATTTTTACATTATTTAATATATAAATAATAAATGCTCAACCAGCCAGTTGATGAGTCGAGTTTTAGTATATTTGAGCTTATTTATTAAAAATGGATAAATTACACTAACACTCCCTCACATTTGAAAATTACACTTACCCCCTGTGGGGACATAATTTTTGAAAGACAACACGTGGCCGAGATGTCACCGAAGTGCCAGCCGAGGTGCCACGTGTCCTGGTCATGACGCCGAGATCATCTCGGCTAGGCCGAGGTTATTTGCGAAGATACCAGAATCCGGGATAAGCGGATAAGGGACAAGAGTTTTAGAATGGGAGAGGACTTCAGTTTGGATAAAGATAAGACACTTAGAGAGTTTATCTCAATCCTATTAGGAGTCCAAGATTCGCAGTAATCCTAAGTCTATTGAAACTAGATTTCTATTGGGACTAGGTTTGTGTTGGCTATAAAAGAGAGGCATCTTCATGGGTCTAAGATATGCTTTTTATGCTCTAAATAGTGAGTTAAGCACTTTTGCTATCTTTGAGAGATAACTGACTTGATCGTCGGAGTGCCCCCGGGTGGATGAATCACCGCCGAAATCTCTTTTTTTTGTGACAGATCGTTCAGGCTTAATCTATAATTTATACGTATTATGTTGAAATTTGTGAGGTTTGTGTCATTTTTTTGATAAACATATTAAATTTTTTTTTTCCTAAGGAACTTGTAACAATTTTACTTGTATTACACGCTCTACAAAACTCAAATAAAATAACAACTCTCCCTAATCTTAATGCAAATTAAGAAGCAAACATATAAGATTTATGATATTCACCAGTATTGTAAATCAAAATATAAAAGCAAGTAAAAAAAATTGTAAACATTAAACAAAAACAAAAATTAAAGTTATCGTATACTTGTTAAAGTTTTATAATAAAAAGAAAAAAAATACTAAATCTATTTAATAAAGCACATTAATAGGTGCTCTACAATCTCAACAAATTGAATTGAAAATTAAATATCAAACAAAACATAATAGCCTATACTCTACAATTTCAAACAAATCAAATATAAAAAAAAAAATTAAATATCAAATAATTCACACCAGCCAGTGCTTTGCAATCTAAAAGAAATTAAAATTAAAATACATACCAGTTAGTGCTACTGCTGTCAATCAAATTATAACTACATAAGAAAAACAAACATTATATTGTCATACACCAAAATAGTGGGTTAAAATTTTACAAAAAGTAGGTTAAAGCTTTCCAAAATATGTATGCTTTACAAAAGATGTGTCAATAACATGTTTTCAAACATGTGTTTGCTCAAACTTCCTCCTTATTACTTTCCAAAAAGTCTTTGTATCAACTTGTACATATCCCCAAAGAGGAACATGCACAACAATCTGGTAATTTGTGAAAACAAAAAAAATATAGATTAGTACATTGTTGGAAATATACATATCAAAATACTTTGAGATTGAAATTACTTTATTACATCCCCATCGAAGCAAGCTAGTCGTATTTCTTCTTTTAAGCTCCATAGATTTTTTTATCCAATCTTACAAAAGTCCATGTTTTAAATTATTATTAAATTGAAATTTTATAAAAAATTATATAATCAATAGAAATAAATCTACATGGTTACCTTCTGATAAAACGTGATGTAATCTACATAGAACACTAGAACAACATCTCAAGATAAACAATATTTGTAGTAGAATCCAAACTATCTTTAGGGAGGAGAATACTTATACAATCAAAGGATGTACATCTGAACAATGCTACATATAATTGCCGATAGCTAAACACTAGTATGCGTAAATCAGCCCCCAACAAATTTCACAGGTTGTCCTTGAGATTTATTAATGGTCAAGGCATATGCCAATCGGACTGGAAATTGACGTCTTGTCATTTGGAATGGCATTTCTGAAGAAGATGGTGTCAAAGATATCCTTGGTATGAATGCCAAATTATCAAACTTTTCTCCAGTTAAAATTTGAGCTTCAATTATGTGTGTGTCGCACCTAGTAACCATCAATCTTGTACCATTACATAATCCATCTTTCGGTGCAATGTTTCTCAACAATATTATAAGACAACCCACTTTCAACTTTAACTTAAAAGTTGGCAGCCATTAGGATATCTATTTGTAATGGTAGGATCAATTTCATTATCTTTAGATATTTTATTTGTTGCAAGATAAGTATATAATCTCCTTGGAAAGATATTCAACGCAGTAGTATTAATGTCACTAACATTATCGTTACGCACAGATAGAATTGTGCATTCAGTTAAAAATGTTGGGGTTGATGTCTCTATTATATTCAACTGTGGGTAAATTGTAAAGAGTAATTCATTCAAATCTTGACATTTGTGTATTGTTGATGGAAGGTTAACGATTTCTTGAGGATTGGTCCCAATCTAAAAAAAGTGAAATCAATAAAAAAGTAAGAGTGTAAACACAATTTATTAATTTAAAATAATTTCTATAATAAGGAAAAAGGTTAAAGTAATGATACCTCCATCAAAAAATTTGCAAAATTAGCATTTTCATGGCCTTTATGATTCAAATGCATATTGAAATCCAAATTTAAGATATGTATATGCTTCCATAGAATAGAATGTCTTAATGATGCATTCATAATTTGCCCACGAACTCCTTTGGACATAACTGGTAAGATTTGTCGAAAGTCTCCACCAAGAACAACAGTAATACCCCCAAATGGCTTTTCACTATCATAAATATCCCTTAATATACGATAAACCACTTCAACACAATGTCTATGTTGCATAGGAACTTCATCCCAAATTATGAGTTTTGTTTCTGTAAATAACTCAGCTTGTAATGATTGTTTGCTAAACCCACAAAGTGAATTTTCCAAAACATCTAACGGAATGGAAAATGTTGAATGTGCAGTACGACCTCCTACCAGTAACAATGACACAATTCCAGATGAAGCCACAGTAACAACGATATGCCTAATGCTGCGACATTTTAATGCAATTGTATTGTACAGAAATGTTTTCCCTGTTCCACCCTATTTAGAAAGAAAATAGTTCATTTATTTTGAAAAACTAAAGAAGTGATTGTGTTATAAGTATTCCGCTGTCCATTGTTGAGACAATCAATAGTAATTTGTGGATCTTCCTGTTGTGCCTCACTTTGCAGTTGTTGATGTTCGAATATCAATCAATTACCAACTACTGCACTCTAATTTGCAGTAGGTTATGGCATGGGTGGGGAGTCAATTAAACTTTTGCTTGATTGATGAAGTATTTGTTTCAAAAGATGGAGACCATAATCTTCAATTTGAGTCTCAGTTGGGTTAGAAATGACAAACAATGTACAAATCTTATGTGCAAGATCATCACATATATGCGTTGAGAATTGATTCCATAATGCACATGGATTTAGTGGAGAGCACTGGGTGAGAATAATACTAAACAATCTCCTCAATTGATATCCAGTTTTCATAACTGTAGCCTCTTTCAAACATTGTATCTATTCTTCATCATTTTTTAAAAGCCCCCTTGCAACACATGCTAATTTAAATGTATCATGCATAACATTATCGACCGTGCGTAAAGACTTAAACGACTTTGGTCCTTTGACAATGGTTAGTAACAAACGCAGATAAAATCTTTCACCACAATTAGGGCTAGTAAAGTACATTCTACCAATTACATATCCCCTTTCTCTTGATTTTCATTTCTTTTCTCACTTAAGCCAAACAAAATGTTGTGGAAATTCTTGATAAGTGAATGGACATTCATCTTCACTAGCAGCACAATATGGCAAAGAAGCCAGTAAGAGTTGACATTTGTTGACCAGCTCTAGATTGAATCGTTTATAATGACTCTTCTGGTTTAAAAACAACACGATGCATTCCGGGTAAATGAAGTGTCAATCGTACAATTGTTGGCATCTATATATGTAAAGGATGACCAAATATTTGCCAAGCAGCTTTTGGAGGTCCAATATACCTTGCATCAAGATATTGTTGAATCTTATTTATCATTCCTAACACCATCGTTGTACGATCACAACCCTTATAAATGTACTTATGTATATACTTGACATATTTCATTCTGGCACAAACTTCCACATTTATATGACAGTTGAAAAGTTTAAAAAGATATGCATTGCATGGTACGACATCCTTATTATCAACTTCTTGCCCCTTCATAGTATGTACTTGACCATTATTGCGACGACGATAGATAGGGTATCCATCTTGATCTATAGTTGTTGTTTCTGTGAAAGCTCGAGGGTATCTCTTAGTGCATCTACCACTTTGCATACATGGTGCTTGCGGATTTTGAGCATCACATGGTCCATGTACCATACAACATTTGATAGTTTCAAAAAGCATAGGATTATCTTTTGGGTCTGAAAATTCTGCACAGAACAATTTGTCTACTTGAGCACATATCTGAATTTTGCCTAGGCCCTTAAGAAATAAAAGTGCATGCATATGAGGGAGGCCTCGTTTTTTAAATTTAATTGTAAAAATATGTGCAATTTTATTTCCAAACACTTTATTTGTTTCTATCTCCTTCATCAAACATTTTCTTTTCAACTCTAAAACACGGGCAATTAAATCAGGACAATCAATAGGTTTTTGATGTGGTAATAATGCTGAAGTAATTTCTGGCCAATTGAGATTTGCAGTCATGGTAAGAAAAATATCTACATGTTAGTTGTATCGCGTGATAGTCATTGAATCTTGAAAGATTTCAAACATATGTCTTGGACTTCCAGTAAATGAAGATGGCAAAACAAACCTTTGACCAATTTGACTAGGTCACACATAATCTGGATCCATATCTGATAACTCTTAATGAAACTCAGCTCGAAGTTTCCCTTGATTAAGCTTGTAGTATGTCAATTGATTTTGCTCAGTTGCAGCCCAAGAATCTACCAAAAACTCTTAAAATAGTTTCCCACCTCTCAAAATTGTTGAATACTCTGTGGGTCGTTCAAACTAACGATAACTATAAAAATCCATTTGAGTAAGTCGATCAGTTGAAGGTCGATCATACTGAACGTTCCACAATTTCAACTCAGGTTCCCATCCAAGCTTACCATATGGAAATAATAGAACATAGTGTAATGGCAAGTATGCTGGGTGACATTAATTAATTTGCATCAACTTATAATTTCCTCGAAAATGTAAGACAATATCTCTCATTCCATTTACCTCTGTTCCATCATCTGGTATTTGTCACGACCCAAACCCGCCCCTATAGGTTTAGCATCGTAACCAGCCAGTAATCCTAGGATTACCGAAGGCCTCCGAGACAATTTAACATAATATTAAGGGCTAGCGGAAGCAGATAACAAATATACAACGTCCATTGAGCTGTGCAGACTTATATGAGACAGAAAAATTTTAAAATTTTTTATATACATATATACACATCATCCTTACGTCATAATATATATACAGATCAGACAAAAGGACTTAGCCCATTTTTCAAAATACACAAGACTTGTTTAACCAAACAAGAAAACATAATTTAAACTTTAAATCACATAGCGATAATCACTTGACATGTCCGGAACATCCACGGAAGGCATATAGGTTGGCTGATAAAAACAGATTCTAGGCAGATGCCTCTAAGCCTGGTCACGCGCCTGATCACCTACATACATAAATAATACAGTGAGGTAGAGCCCAGTGAATAATAACAAAGTAAAAGGTTTTAATGAATGAGTCCGTACAGATTCAGAATTCATAATTCAGTTTCATATCAAATTCATAATTTGTCCAGATCATATACAAAAATCATAGATCATGCGTAAGTATACGTGATACATCTATAAGCGCTAACAGAGCAGATACAGAACAGATGCAAATACGTGAGGGTTACGAATAACCAGTTCTATAAAGGAACCTCCGGATTCAGGTAATAGAGAATAAACACGCTGAGCCCCATGATGGAGCCTCTAGTACGGGTAACAGAGTGCAGATAGATTAAGTTCCATGATGGAACCTCTGATACCGGGTAACAGCCAACACATATCGCATGATACTAAGGATGTCATGAATACATATCAGAAATTGGACAATCATTCAATGTACAGAACATAACATTTCAGAAAATAATTCTTATTTCATCATACAGAAAATAAAGAAGGTTGAACATAGCTTTACTATGTTATTACTCACAGGTAGCCGCAGAAGCAAAGCAGACGGACTGGACATATCAGATAAATCAGGCAGACAATGGCGCGTGACCTACACAAGCACATAACATATACACATTGAAATACAATATTACTCCCTTGATCAAACTTAACTTTTCTAGTCTTTTTCCGTCTAAATAGTCCGAAGTTCTACTACGCTTATTCTTTCTCATTCAAATAAACCGGGTTCTTATTTCACATATTCTTCCATTACTAAGCCCTTCTTTTCCAAATAAATTAATCTTTTACTTGGTTTCTTAAACAATTACCACTAGATCAATGATTCATTCTTTAACTAACTAATCTATGTTGATTAGTAGCTTATTAATCTTTATTGAGTCATAAATCATGTCTAGAATGCTTTGGAAAGATATGAGAATAAAAATGTGAACTAAATGCAATTTTCCAAAATATGCTGAAAATGGGGTCTTCGCTTGAGCGCCACTTTGGTCGCTCGAGCGGACTGTAAAATTTGAACAACTTCTGGGAGCTCGATTTTCACGCTCGAGCGAGACTTTCCTCGCTCGAGTGGACAGCGTAAATTCTGAAATTTCCAGAATTGCAGTTGAAGTTTAAATTTGATATACAAAGCCTCAAAACACGTATTTTTGGTACACAAAAATGGAGAATCATTGCATAATTTAGTAAACACCCTCAATTAGAAATCATTTATTCAAAATCATGCTCCACTTGTTCAAATTTAGTTTTAACTCATTTTCTCCCCATCAAACCCACAAATTTTAAAACATGAATTAGACTCCCAAAACTCTTACAAATTCATGATGCATATGTGATTGAAACTCAATTTCATATAAGACAAATAAGTTCAAACCCAAAATGGTTATTTTCAAATTAACTTATATAATTTTGAATCTAATTCAATTTCTACACCGTTTTACTAATTTCTTTTAATGTACATGAAATTGAAGCTATATGACTCTTAGAAAAGTGTTTGCATGTATGACATTAAGATTAAAACTAATTAATTTTCTATATTCAAAATTAAATCAATGTTTAATTTTCCATAAACTCATACTCTTTAATTTGAATAAAACTTTTAAATTAAAATTAAACCAATTCCTATCTTTCCTAGTAAAATCAAGACCTTGTCTAACTTTAGGATTAACCCCCAAATTTCCATAAACTTGATTTTTCTTATAAAATTTCTTCCTTCTTCTCTTCAAAACATGAAATTGTTTACCTTAAATTCCTCAAAATCCATGATGCATGTATACAACACTTATCAAATCCAACCAATTTTCCATTATCAAGCTCAATTTATAATTTGACTTCTTAATTTATATCACAATTTAATCTCAAGCTCATAAACTTTAAAATATGAATTAAATACTAAAATCTTGAAAATTTACAATGCATGTAATGATAAACTTCAAATATGTGAATGATGAAGAAAATCAAACTCAAATATTTAATCACAACATCAATTTCTTAATTATCAAACTCAACTCAAACCTTCTACATTCTTTTCTTATGTTATGAAATTAAACCCAATTACCCTTTAATTTCAGCTTGTAAGTAAATTATCTACAAAATTTAAGTCTCAATTTCTTACCTTAAGTTTTCAAATTGATGAATTTCTTGGCAAATTCTTGAACTTTTCTTCAGTTCTCCACTTTTCCCTAGCTTTCCCCATAGCTTTCCTACTCAATTTCTAGCAAATAAGTTCCAAGAACTTTTACACGCTCTCCCTCTCTCTCGGTTGTTTCTCTCTCTCTCTCTCTCTTTAAATTCCCTTAACAGAACGAATGAATACATACTCACCTTTCTTCCTTTATTTTCCCTTGCTTTGATAAGTTTTGTTTTTGCCTCAGCACAATGAGCTCTCTCTCTTCAAATGCATATAAAACATGAAGACTCACTAACACTCAAACTTTCTAGAATTTTCTCTTAAAACCCCCACGTGCCAATTAATTGGGTAGAATTAAATTAGTATATAATTATATATCAGCTTAATTAAACACCACTTAATTTTAATTAATCTTGATTAATCCTAACTAATCACAAGTCCAACATAATTTAATTAGTCCGAATGACTTCAATTAAGGCCTAATTAATTATAATTAAATCTGTCAATCTGAATCAGATTTTTAACCAAACTCCAAAAGGTTCCATATATTAAGTTAAATATATTTCCATTATCAATTTTAATTTCTCAAGCTATTTGGGCCTTTAATTTCTAATCAGACTTCAAATTTTCGTCAATAAATTACATATCCAAATTAAACACCCCATAAATAAATTTAATTCATAATAATCACAATTCTCAATCCTCATAATTTAATTAACTAAATTTTCTCCAATTCGAACCTAATTAATCGGATCTCAATGTTACTAAATTGAATCGAATGTTTAATTGAACTCCCAAATGGGTCCGTAATTAAAACTAAGTCGACTCAACTTCTTAATTTCACTTCTTTAAACCATTTGAACCCTTAATCTCTAATTCCAAAATAAGCACTTAATAGAACCATAAATGAATCAATCTCCATACTTTTCGTAAAACCCAGATTAAATTGGAATAATTAGCAATTAAATGTCAAATCTCCTTAATTAATTAAGTGCTAATCATTATATGCGAGAGGTCGTTACAGTATTACAATTGCAATCTCATCTGCAGTTGGTAGGTTATACTGACATCGATCAGCTGTTGAATTGTAATGAAGATGAGCAGGTAGATTGTGTCTTACCAAGTCTAATTGATGTAAAATGGCATAAACCTGGCAAAATTTATCTACAAATGCATTGACTTACAACAAACTATCCTGAATAGTTTTGAGAACATCTTTTCTCAAGTTAAGATTTCTACGATTACGAATTTCTAAAGCTGAGTATGGGTCATAGATATACAGTTGAGCATAACTCGCATCATGCCCTGGTTATGGTTGTAGTGATCCTGTTCGATGTTGCAACGCCCCATGAATTGTGAATGATGTAGGGCCCTTTCCACTAAGTACTTTATGATCCAATGTATCACCAAGACTCGTAAAAGCATTGGCTACATTGTACACTCAAGTATAACTTCGAAAGGATTTTGATTGATCATTATTCCATCATACAACGCCTGAAGTGGTGGAGGGGGGTGTAATAAGTAAAGGTAGTCTAATCTTTCCTTCCAAACAGCAAGTTCTGAATAAGGGACGCTTCATAGATGATTTTGTCAATTTTTCATCCATCCAATGTAAGGCTGAACAATAAGAACATAATACATTCATCTTGCCAAGATAATGGCGGCAAGAATCTTTGTGTGCCCAGGCGTCAATCGATGTACTCATAGGCATATTTTCTAATTCATCATCAGTACATAGATCTTCTTGAAGAAATCGATTTATAGGACACCTACGAATATTTGTGCATAAATAAAATTCTGTAAAACAAAACGGTATGAGTAAAAGTATGTATTTCAAGATTAAATATAGTAGTTTACCGATTCCTTTGTAGAGCTAAAGATGTGCTTGGCATTGAAAACGAACATGTAGAATGATGGATAACCATTGTTCGTTTTTGTGCTGAATGAGAATCTTCAGTTATTGTTTCCCACTCCAAACGAGTGCGGTCGTGACGAATTGGTGTTAAAGAAGGTTGTCTTAGTTGAACACATTCTTCTAATCCTTTTTATTCTCGTTGCAAGCATTCAAATTCAAAGTATGACTTTTCATTTTTTTCACGCTCTCGCTGTGCATGTTGGGCCAATGCAACTTTTGATATTACATTATCATTTTGTGCCTAAAATGAAAATATTTTGTCATTGATGCAAATATGTGAATAATTTGTGCTTAAAATGAAACTATCTTCTTATTTATTTCCTTTCTCTTAATTTTGTTTTCTATTTTATTTGTTTTATACCTTCAATAGTGTTATCTTTCTTTCTTCATGCATTTTGTTTTATACCTTTAAGAATTAAAAACCTATATTATTTAGTTTCTCATTTCTTTATATATTTTTTCTTCATATAAGTAGCAACTTATGGATGGTACATTATAAATACACATATATCTATGCAAAATAAAAATAAATACATTTGGAAAACACATACAAATAATAGCAAGTTATAGGAAAATATATTATCATTCTACAAAAATAACTTAAAACAACAAATTCATTTTTTAAAAAGAATATATACCACTTGACATGCATTTGTCATTCTCTTGTCAGTAGGAGCCATCTTTTCTTTTCCTTTAGACATTGGATTGATCTTTTCTTTTTCTTTTGCCTAACAAATATAAACAAAATATTCAAAAGATTAAAAAAATCTTATATAATCTTATATAAATAAAATACATACAATATTTGACTTGATTTTGTACTTACCGCACGAACACGGATAACATTAAGGTCGTGCTCATCACGGATGACCACACCAATATTTCTAGATGAGGTTGTAGGAGCAGGCCTATAGAAATGGATTGTGAACAAATCAAAATATATATAATAAAGTGGTAATAATAAGAGTATATATTTCAAGACTTAAACATAGTTGTTTACCAATTTGGTGTTAAAGAATGTTGTCTTGGATTAATACATTCCTTTGATCTTTCTCGTTCTCATCTCAGGCGTTGTCCCAATTGGTATGCAGAACATAACTTTTGATTTTTTTCTCATTCTCGCTGTGCACGTTGGACCAATGCAGCTTTTGATAACATATTATCATTGTGTGCCTAACATGAGAATATTATATAAGTAGGTACATAAAATGTATAAAGATTATCCCCTCTCTTGCTTCCCTTTCATTATGTATTTTTTCTTCCTTTTTACTAACTTTTCCTCTTCACTCGGTTGAGTTGTTAGTCATATAAGAACCAATGTATGTATTGATGAAATTTAAAAAGGGAGGAAAAAATAATTTGAAAACACATTAAGAACACAAAACTGCAAACTCACTATGCACTTATTAGTTAAAAAACACTACCTATCTCTTTACAAAATGTATGTTGAAAAGGTAAATATTAGAGTATTGGATACGTAAAATGTGAATATTAGTGTGTGATATTTTCTACTTTCCTTTTCACTCTTCTTGTTCTTTGCGTTATATTAAATTTTATTTTTGTCTTTTTCTTCTTTCCTTAAGAACTTCTTATAAGAAAAATAAAAATTAAAAAAATTATATTATATAGTTTCTTTTTCATCACATATTTGTTCCTTATTCTTTTTTTCCTTTTTTGTTTTTTTCTTTTACATTTTTATTATGTTATGTTGTAAATGCAACATTTGTTCATACAAATAGACAAACATATTAAAAATTCAGATTAATGCTCATACAAATGCATTAGCATGTTGTATAAATGCTTACTTTAGCATGCTTCAGAAAAACATTTCACATTCAATAAAAAGAATTGAATAATATTTGAAAAAGAAACTTTCAAAAAATGTACATAAAAAAGAGTATATGATACTATGCAATTCCTAAAAAAAAAATCTATATAAATTTTTTTATATATAATATTTGAAAAATAAACTTTTAAAAATTGTTGAGAAACCATACTACAGGATGTGTATTTTCCTTTCCTTTGCCAGAAAGGATAGCCTTTTCTATTTCCTTTGATATTGCTTTGTCTTTTTCCTTTGCCTTTGCCTATGCCTATAAAAAATAAGTGGAATATATTTATAAATTATTTTTAAAATGATAAGAAAATGCATGTCCAATGTTCAAGTGACTTTTAAACTTACCTCATGAATGCGAATAGTATTAAGGTCACGCTCATCACGGATAACAATATTAACATTTCTTTCTTGAAGAAATCGAATCTATACATACAAAAACTTTAGAGTGATAAATAAAACTTTATACACATAGAGCACTAACCACAAACCAAGTCCCAAATAACCTGTCTCTCTCTCTCTAATCAAACTCACATTTTTTGAGCAAACCCATAACCTATGCCAAGGTCTGTCTATGCCAAACAACCAATTTGAGAAGCTTGGTGCACAAACAACCAATTTGATTCAAAACAAATCTTTGGGTTAAGTTAGAAAAAAAATGATCAATTTTGATGTTGTGTGTCAACAATTGGAAGGTAGATAATCAAAAGAATGTGTAAGGGAAAAAGAATAGTCAATTTACAATGGTCAAATGAAAATAAATATTAGCGTAAAATGACAATCAAATGAAAACATACACCAAGAAAAGATACATGCCCAATCCTAAGATTTGCCAAAGAGCTGTAGCAAATGAAACATACACCAAATCATTTGTGGAGGGGGTGTAATATTTCGTTTGCTACAACTCTTTGGCCCGTGAACAGGTTGTATTTTCATGAGCTACAAACAAACTTTACTTACATATTGTTTGTGGTTGCCTTGGGGTATGCAAACACAAACACAAACACAAAATACAAAATATTGGCCAAAATATTTGCCTTGTTTTTTATTCACTGGATTAATGGACTTTTTTTAATTATAAACAAATATTATTTTATTCTCTCATAATCCTCTCATTTTCAAAATAGAGGCATTTATATAATTACAATTGGGGATGAATGTTTATTTTCAATCCCCTTAAAACAGAGACATTTATTTTCAAAACAGAGGCATTTTCACTACATTGATTTTCAAAATTGGAGGCATTTTTTATTTCACCGAGTAACTTTTAAAGAGAAGTTGTAATATTTTTTAACAAAAAAAATCATATAGAGAGAATATATGAAGAAACTAAAAAAATATAAAAAGTTTGAGATTCAAAGCAAATATTCTGTCATAATCCCCTTATATTATTTTATATAATTAATTATAATGCAAACATTTATATAATTATTTTATTTTAATAATTAAAAAATCTTAGTGTAAATAACTTAAAAATTATTAACATGATATTATTTGGTGTTGACGATACATTGTTTGGTTCTGTAACCTAATTAATGGCAGAATATTGGAAGTAAACACAATGTGTATAACTTTACCATTAAGAAGGAAAGGAGGTTATACAAAATATTGACCAAAAATAGCTTGAATTACTAATGAAAAGCTTTTATTTCCATGAAGTTTTAATGGAAAGATACATACACTGTTTTACCATTTCCAAAAAAGCTTTCTTGATTACTAATGAAAAAACAACCATAAGTTTTTATTTCCATGAAGTTAATAGAATGGAATTCAAAAAATCTAACCCAACACATTGAAAATACAATGGAAAATACTGACCCAACACACTGAGAGAAAGGAAGAGAGACAAAAATTGGTAACTATACACCATGAGCACATAGCCAACTAATAAAAAACATAACATACGAAGATTTTGGTAATAAAAAACAGAGTCAACTTGAATGTAGCCTTTGCAACTACTCTTTAATTTTTATTTTTAGATTGATGACTACTCTTTAATGTAGTCAACTTGTTCTTCTTCCTCAATTTTACTCAATAGTCATGCTTACCAAACGTTACCAAAGCAATAACAAAAAAAAAAAAATAAGAACCAAAGTAATAAACTAACCCAGCCATCAGCAAAATAGAGAGAAATGAGGAAAGACAAAAGTAAAAACAAAAAAATTACTGTAACGAATAGCCGAGCAGCCGAAGTGATGTCGCAGTCGGAGTGAACAACGGTCAAAGTGGTCAGAGTGATCCACAGTCGAAGTAAGCTCTGATGAGGGCAAAAGCTGAGAGAGGAAAAAAAAAATTCAAGAAGAAGAACAGAGAGAAAGAGAGAGATAGGGAGGGTAGGCAGAGAAATGAGATGCAAAAGCTGAGATAGGGAGGAAAGGTGGGTAAACAGAGGGTATAGGGAGACAGAGGGTAAATACTGAGGGAGAAGAGTCGGGGAGACAGACGGTAGATACTGAGGCAAATCATTTGTATCTTAGGGAGAAGAGTGTTGGGCGGGAACATCATTAATCTCAATCATGGATATTTATTAGAATTGATCTGAGCCATTCAAAGGAAATGTGTTTCTCATACATTTTATACATTTTCAAAAACCCTTCTCCCTTATTTTATAGATTTGAAAATTCTTTATAAAATTTATGTTTGTATATCATCACTCAATAATAATATGTTTAAGTAGAATTTAATAATAAAAAGTTGTAGAATGTAGTCATGATGATAAGAAGAAGAAATAGAAGAAAAAAAAAAGGAGGCAAGATGATCCTTTAGAAAATTTTATGGCATAACATCAACAATTTATGAGATAATTTATAATGAGATTACAAACCTCAAGGGAGAACGTAATTTTTCAAATGTGATGAGGGAATTTATATTAAACAGAAACTTCAGAGGGTGTCAGTGTAATTTACCCATTAAAAATTTAATGAGCTCGAGTTCGAACTCGAATGAAAAAAAAATTTAACGAACCAAATTCGAACGAGTTTTTACTAAGCTAAACTCAAATTTGAGTTTGTTAACGAACGATTACGATCATTTACAGGCTTATCACAAGGTCACATGTTCAAATTTCATGTAGGCCAAACCTTGGGCCAATGAAGTTTATGGCCCAAATTGGGAGTGGTGGCCTGGTGGTGAATGCTTTCCATTTCCCAGGCTTGACCTAGGTTCGAATCCTGGGAGAGGCGAACAAAGGTTGCTTTGCAACTGGTTCTCTGCAGAGACCTCGCCTTGTACTCCGATCGAAATCTGAGCTTGTCTGTGGCATGTAAGGTTACGCTCTATTGATGCCTCGGTGGTGGATCCTTTCATTGGTGCCGCGGTGGTGGATCCTTTCCTATGAGTTTGGTTAAATCAGGCTGATAACCAATTATCCCGAGACCTGAGTTTACGAATGTCGTGATGATACCACAAAATATCCTTTTTTTCAGATTCAAAAAAATAAGTTTATTTGGTCATTAATTTCAAGGTCTTGAAATTAGTTGAAATCGGCGTAAGCTAACCTGATTACTCAGTTCTCCCAAAAAACAAAAAAAAAAAATAACAAAAAATTTCTCTGAATTATGAAAAACGGCACCGTATCTACATGATACCACATTCCCTAATGTAAGGTTTCCGAGACTACTCTGTAATTTATGTCATTTTAGAATCTCTCTCTCTCTCTCTCTGCCTCTAAAATGGTTATCTCCCTTCATACAACTGGTTCTAACTCATGTCTACACTCTGGGAGTGGAATTCCTCAGCATTCCCTCAGGTTCACTCTATTCCAATCAGTTTTGTTTATATTCATCGTTTCAATTTGGAATTGACTTTTTTGCCTACGAATCCCTTATTCCTTTGGCAGCTGTGCAACCAAGACTTTTGTGGGTTTGAAGCTTCAATCTCCCAGTATGCTCTTGCTTCATAACTCTATGCTCAATGCTTTTCACCTAAGCTTATGGGTTTCGCTGATTTCTTGTATTTTTTTTTCCCTTTTCTTCTGGGCAGGTTTTTTTGGCAGTACGAAACCTAACTTGAACGTTGAATTCCATAATAAAGTTCATAAGAGCATTCAATCCAGGTGATTCGTATAGTTTTGGTATCTGGGTTTTTGTTTTTTCCCACTGATGTTCATGTTATGTATTGAAAGTATTCAATTATAACTTAAATTCGTATCATTTTAATTTATTGCAAACGCCCAAAATTCCTCATGGAATTAAGGACTGAGTATGTATGGAGAGAAGTGCACTATGTATAATTCTCAGGTTTCAATAGGAACTGCATTTTGTTGTATAAAAATTGTAACTTTGGAGGTGTTTTTAATGAATTTAATTAAACACCGTGAACGTGTAGTTTTCGTATTTTTTTTTAATTTTTTTCAGTCAAAATTATTCTATATCTAGCTGCATCAACTGAGTCAGTTTCACTTCAGTGTTTTGATTTGCTTTTGAATGTTGTATTTGTTTTTTTTTTCAACTCTCTACTCAGTTTAGTGTTGACTGTTGATATTAGTATGCGCCTTGCTTGTAAAGTTTTATGTTCAATTGTTGTAACTGGTGCAAAATATGAATGTGTACATTGACTCATTTCTCCAATTTCAGGACTTGTGACAGTAAACCAACACGAGCACGTGTTACAATGATGCCCATAGGGACACCAAGAGTGCCCTATAGAACTCCTGGTGAGGGAACTTGGCAGTGGGTTGATTTGTGGAATGCCCTTGTAAGTGACTACATCTACTTTCTCTAATCAAATTAGTAGGCAAACTTTTTTTTGACCCTGGAACAACAAAACTATCTTGGATGTGACACTCTTTGGGCATTTTCTCTCTCACCTTAGTTGCCTAGAATTTGGAACATTTTGTCTTGTTAGAAAATCTAGACATTTATCTCTTAGTAGTACATGTAACGACCTTGCCAAATTTTGTGCTGAATTTTTTGAGTGATTCCCAGAGAATGTTGGTTTATATGTCCCCCTCCATGTGCCACATCTTCCTCTGTGGGGTCGATGGTTACTTTCTGAATAATTTTCTACAAATCTATACATTTTGTTATATTCTCTAAGAATTTCACTAAATTTTTGGGGTGCAGTACCGGGAACGAGTTATCTTCATTGGGCAACATATAGATGAAGAGTTTAGCAACCAGATACTGGCAACAATGTTATACCTTGACAGTATTGATTCTTCCAAAAGGATGTATATGTACATCAATGGTCCTGGTGGTGATGTGAGTTATTCATCTGTCATGTCTTTTGCTAAACTATGATTTGCTTTCTTATTTAAAATCTTCTGTAGAATCTATTTATTTTTTGCTAAGAACATGCACTTTTTGCAGCTAACTCCAAGCATGGCTGTCTATGACACAATGCAGAGCTTGAAAAGCCCTGTTGGAACCCATTGTGTGGGCTATGCCTATAATTTGGCAGGCTTTCTTGTTGCAGCTGGAGAAAAGGTAATATATTTATTTCTCCTGTTGGCAAATAGTAGTACAATAACACAAGGCATAATCTGTGATTGTTGGTGTACCATGTGAGGTATTTGGCTACTTCAAGCTACTATAATTGAACAGGGAAAATCCTTTTGTCTATTTCTAATAACAAATTTATGTTCACCGACTTCTTTTGGGCTTTTGGATGGTAACTATACATTAAACGGATATATGATAGGTTGGCCATGTTTATTGGATTAGGATACTCTTTCAACTTAGTAGATTCAGATGAGGTATTCCTACTCAAATAACTCAACTAAGTCTTGTCTCAATTATTTGGGATTGGCTACGCGAATCTTGTTTGTCCATTCTGTACAATCAAGGGTTATAATTTTAGCTAAACCACAAGTTAACATATCGTTTCTTATTTTAATCCAAGTTAATTCGTTCTTTCTTGTCCCCTTGCATTACCTGCAATATGGACAGTATCACTATTACTAATTTGTGTAATTATAGGCTTATGTTGTATGGGGGTAGAACATCATAGGCAATTTTTCCTCTTTCTCTTCAACATCTGCTACCTTTACCATCTCACAGATTTGTTCGTTCTAAAGGTGTGCACGGGTCGGTTCAGGTCGGTTTTACCCTTAAACCGTCAGCCAAACCGACACATTCGAGTTAGAAAACCAGCTACCCGTCGTCGACCGACTCAAAAGTCATGGTTTGGCGGTCGGTTCGGTTGATTTCGAAAATCCGGTAGGAATTTTTGAAAAAAATGGATTTGAGAGTTCAAAACAACAAATTGAGTTTATGTATATACACTTATAGATCACAGATCTGTGATAGAGCGAGTAAAGCAAAGGAAATGAGGGGAGGGGAGGGAGGGGGAAGTGAAAGGTGGCGACCGCCTTCACTCATCACATTGCCATCGCTCATTGCCGCCAACACCAACATCATTGTTAACTGACCTCATCCGTCCCTGCCACTACCATCACCATCGGAATAGAAATGGAAAGAAAAATAAAAAGAAACAGAAATGAGGGAGAGGGTGAGAGATGATGAGTTCGAAAGGGGAGAGAGTCGAAGAGAGAGAGAGAAAGTGGGTGAGGGAGAGAGAGAGAGAGAGAGAGAGAGAAGTCGCTTAGTTGCACGAAGCGGGAGCGGGAGCGGGAGCGGGAGCGGGGGAACGTGACCACTTAGAGGAGTCGTAAATTAGGAGCGCTTATATATTATAAATAAAAAATTATAATAAATAAGAAATAATAAATTATGTTAAAATAAATAAAAAGAAAAATTAGATAATTTATTTTATAATTTTTTTATTATATATGGTTTAATTAGATTTCTTTTAAATAATTGGATGATTTATTTTATTTATTATATGTTAAAAAGTTAAGAAATAATAATTTACAAAAATTATTATTATATATGATATTTTAAGAAATAATAATTGAATATTTTATTATATATGGTAAAAATTATAATTTATAAATTTTATTACATATATAATATATGATAAATTATATTTATTATATATATTATATATATGATAAATTATATATATTATATGTTATATATATAATATATATGATCAAACATAGTAAACATGGAGACGAAGAGAGAGAGTGAAGAGAACAGAGACGAAGCAAAGAACGACGAACAGAGATGAAGAGGGAGAGAAGCAGAGACGAAGACGATCGAGAGAGTGACGAAGATCGAAGCCCTCAGAGACGAAGACGATCGATCAGGTTAGGGTTTCTCTCTCTCTCTCTCTCCTTTACGATCCCATCTTGGACTGAATCGCGTTTCTCTCTCCACAGAAACGCGATTCTTACACGTTTCTTTCGCGGAATTGCGGAATCGCGATTCTTACTTAGAATCGCCACCTAGTTGCGCGATTCCTGCAACTAAGAGAAGTCGAAAGGATTGAGGAGAGAGAGAGTCACAAGAGTAAATGAAGTTGTCAAATCTTTGTGAGAGAGAAAAAAATAGAGGAATATATTTTTCTTGGGAAAATGGATATGGCCTTGGAAAACATATATGGAGTATTATATATCTCTCAGATTTATTTGCAATGGTATATATCTCATCTTAGACTTGAAAAATGTGAAGAATTTATTGATAAGGGGATTAGGTGAGTTGTCATACAACTCTGACTTGGAAAGGACAAGTTATCTTGGAACTTTAACTCATTTAGCTTATCAAGGTAACTTTAAAAAGCTGAACAACTAAAATAATATTTATTTATTATATATATATCGGTCAGATCGGGTTTGACCGATATTTTTTAATTAAATCTGTCATCCGACCGTAAATCAACATTTTTTCATGAAATCTATCCGCTGCTGACCGAATGGTCCTACGAAACCATCCATGACATGCACGGGTCGGGCTGGTCCACTGGTGGTTTGGTTTTTTGCACACCCCTAGTTCTAATCCTACCTTTCCTTGTTTTGCCACACTCTCACCTTTGCTTCCTTATCTTGGCCACTAATGTTGTGATTTTGTTTCCACACTGCTAAATATTTTTTATTATAAATCTATTTCCTGGTAGTTTTATCTCTAGTTACTTTTTCTTATGAAGGGTAATCGCTTTGCAATGCCTCTTTCAAGAATTGCACTACAATCTCCTGCTGGAGCTGCTCGTGGTCAGGTATGACTGTAAATTGTCGTTGTTGTAAAAAGCTTGCAATAGATATGTTTCCAACCGTACAAGTTTTCTTTCCGTACAATTTATTTCATGTATCTTTTGACAGGCTGATGACATTCGTAATGAAGCAAATGAGCTTCTCAGAATCAGAGATTACCTTTTTAAAGAGTTAGCTAACAAGACAGGCCAGCCTGTTGAGAAGGTATAATTTGCTTATTGCTGGACTTTCAATGTCTTCCTGGTTGATTAACCTCCTATATCTTTGTAAATAAGCAGATCAACAAGGACTTAAGCCGGATGAAGCGCTTCAACGCTCAAGAGGCTCTTGAATATGGAATCATTGATCGTGTAGTTCGGCCTCCCCGTATTAAGGCTGATGCACCAAGAAAAGATGCAGGAACAGGTCTTGGTTAGTGTACTTGTTCCTTGTGCACCGTATTGGTTGATGGATTTTATACAATTTGGAATGTTTTTAAGTTTTATGTAGGCACTTATATAATAAGCTAATCAGTCTGTAATTGATGTACACAAGTGTATTATGGTGAGCAATATCACTCTGAGATCAATGATTTCCCATTGATGGCTCTTAAAAGCTTTCTTTTGTCAAAGAAATATTAATATAACAATTATGGAACTGATTATTTACTGTTATGGTCTCATCTATGTTTTGAGTTTAGTGTTTTTCTTGATCTTTTGTGACTATAGTTGCTGAGGTCCATGTGTTTCCCTTGCTATCTTCGTTTCTATTGGTGTGAATCTCTTGCCATAAGTTCATAAGCTTGCCAAATTATTTTTAGTTTAGATCAATCTCCACCCCACTAATCCATTGAATATTAGTATAAGAGGAAGTTTGCAAAATTTTTAGTCATTGTGCATGCTAAAATTAACTCCCATCCTGTGACCTATTGACAACCAGCTGTCTGACACTCCTTAGGTTCTAACTTCTAAGCTTTTTTTGTCCAATTGTTACTCCTATTGACAAGTTTAAGTGCATTCCTATTGTGTGGATAGTCAATCATCCACTCATGGAATGTGGACATTTGCTTAAATCATCCTCCTCGTCGCGAGAGAACATTAATTATAGGAAGATCCATTACTATATAGTCAAAATTTGCACTAAAAAGAGTTACTCGGCTGGTTGTAACCTGCGATATCAATGATCTAATTTGCTTAGTTATTTATGAATGCAATGGTGAAGCAATATAATAAGACTGGTTACTCTTTTAAAAGCAGTGTTGGACCATATTGGACCATGCCGGAATTGTTGCCTTCTTTTCTAATGAGTCTCCAAGGTTCCTAAATTTTTGCTTTTTAGTTTTTAATTCTGGAACCTAACACAAAAGGCTCTGAACTCATAATTTCTGTGATATTATTGCCTTTCTCAACATATAATAAGTTGCATGTATTTTTCATTGTTTATATGTAGCTAAGAGTACGCAAAGCCATTGTTTTGTTGTTTATGTTGGTTATTATTATTATTGGCTGAGCCATCTCTTAAATATATTAACTGGTTGATCTATTTATCTATTCATTTTTGCTGAGGAACTCCATCTAATCCTTGATTTAACTATTGGATTAAGTGATGGAAAAACATACAAGCTAGTTTTTCCATGTTTCTATTAGTTATGTATTTTGTGCCTTTGACAAATAATTTGTGAGCATATACTGTACAAACTTTTCCCTGTGGTGTGATGGATTTTTTTGATGATGCAAGTCACTCGGCATCTCCAGTATTAAGGATTATGGAATTTGGCACGTATGTTTTTACTTAGTTAATCAGTAGTAGATTATCCTCTTTAATTCAACAAATATGTTAATAGTTTGACTTCAAAGTGGTTATGAGAATTTGTTTAAAAGTGATTTTTATTTTGAAAATTTTTCTTTTGCTGCTATAATGCTAATTCAATTATTTGTTACTACGCATTAGATTATTTTCTTTGATGCGGGGCCAAGTCAACATGAGCTGCATAATTTGAGTTGGGTCAATGTCTTTGATGGTTGGGAATGGTTTCTTGCCATCTACCAATTAAGGAAATATTGTGACACTAAGGTTTTAAACAACTAGTATCAAACCAGTCTTTTTTGCAAATCTAAAACTGTACTATTATGAAAAATATTCATTCATGTTTGTGGAAAAATAGGAACTGTATCTGGGCTGTCGTCAAGTATTTGTTGCTGGTTTCCCTTTAACATGGAAGCAGAGGTTAAAAATTTAGAATGCTAGCTCTAACACTGGCTCAACAAATAAGTTGTAATTCTCTATCCATTACAAACAATTTTCTGGTTTGGTGAGCATTTCATTGATGAGCTTCCTTTTTGGAGTTGACATGCTTCCTTATTTGCGAGAATTCCTTCCTCTGGAGCTGTCTCCTCTCCAAGCACTCTTCTTGTCGTTTTAATCTTTCCTCATATCTAAGCTCTTTGACCTGATGTCTTTCTTTAGCCTGGCCTGATGATGGTGCGCTACTTTTGGAAATAGGTTTTTTTATCACCCAGTTCTTTGTTTACCAACGTAGAACTCATACTAGGAGCTTATTTATTTGTTAAGATAGGTAAAATAACACAAGAAATATCTTTACTGTAAAACATAGTATTACAACAGTTTTTTGCATGGTGCAATGGTGCACAATTTGATCGTCCCTAAAAATGGACATATTTAGGATTAAAAAAAACAAAGACAATAGTTATAGAAACTAAATCCTCGCCAAAAAATGGGGGAGTTTAAATTTGAAAAGAACTGAAAGAAATATATAAACCAGTTACAGCGTAACTCAGAAGTGAAACTTGCATGCTATATTATATGCACAACTCCAAAGACTGAAATGCAATATTGTATTACTTCATACCCATTTAATTAATTTACATAGTTGTTGCAAAGGTTCTCTCTTAACAATTCTTCCTTCCATCCTGTTATGACCTTAGCAATGAACCCCTCAATTCTGCTCTGCAAATGATTGTCAAATTCTTCTCCGTCATCTTCCCAACCAATAACGTCATCACTACCATTATCGTCATATTCTTCATCATAACCATCCAATCCATAATAATAGCCATCAGCATCGTTTTTGTCATCATCATCCTCAATATTATCGTTGTTATCATTGTTCCTGTGATGGTTGCTCTGGTTCTCGTAGGTGTTGTGTGTCTTTGGTTTGCTCTTCCTCTACTCCATAAACAAAGTGGAGGACATGCAAGAACCCATCAATGCATCAGTAGATGGTGTGTAACTTTTGGCAAGGATGACACACACTATAGTGTGAAACACCGTAGACACGGAAAGATGACTAGATGAAAATTGAAGAATGTTGTGATACAATGGCAAATAGGAATTCAGTAGCAACGGAGAAGTAGCTGCACATAGAATGAAGAATAGAAGTATGAGTACCCAAACAAGTCTCATGACGGTTGTTGCATACAATTAATTGGTTGATGTGGGTTACCATTTTATAGGTCTATGTTAGATTAATTTAATAGCCAAGAGGTGTTTTCTCAGAAAGTTTAAATAAAATATTATATTCTCAGTTTACATTTGAGATAGAGAGATTGATTTAGTCTATCGTGGTCGTGGAAAAGTTAAAGCTTTTAAGCATAAAATAGGAAATTTCTTGGCATTGTCAAGACAAGTAGAAAGTATATAAACATTCACTCTCTTGTGGTCAGTGCAGTCTAGCATGGATAACCTTTTTGTTGACAAAATGAAACCTATGAGATAACTTGCATCTTAATTTCCTTTTCTTGAACGAAAATTTCGAAAGAGGTCACCATTTTAGAAGGGTTGGAAAATCTGAACAAGAACCAACCTGTTTCCAACCCGTGTCTTGACTAAGCACACTAGGCATTAGCAGGTCAAGTGTAAACACATCATAGATGATGAATTTGGGTGAACCTATATCCTATGTGACGATACAGCCCCTGGGTAGTTGGGATGGACATTCCAAAAAATAACCCCAGTGTAATGGCCACAAGTCTGAACTGAATATTCAAGTTGTAACTTGTAAACAGTACTTGGATTTCCTGTGAATTTATCTTCAGGAATATTGACAACTTAAGTATTCTTTGACCAAATCACAGAACTCTTTGCTTTATGAACTTTTTCCATGGAATTTTAAGTTGTTGATAAAACTTATCTTGATTTATAGAGGATTTGAGGTTGACAGATTAATAAAATATTCCTATATGTGTTAATTAGTGAAACACATTGTGCCTAGTCTGTTTCCCTTCCCTTATAGTTATATTATGAAAGCTTTAGTTAAGGTATCAACATTTGAATTGAGGAATGTTGTTATCCTATGAAACACGAATACGGATATAAGATACTAGTAAGATACGATGATACGGCGATACAAAAACCAAACCAAACCAAACCAAACCAAACCAAGCCTTAAGTCCCATCAAATGGAGTCGGTTACATGAATCTTTCTTCTCCATTCGGTTCTATCAAGGGCTATTTGGTTAGTCAAACTAGGATACAACAATACAAAAACCCTAAAAAAATATTATACAGTCAAGATAAGTTTGTAAATATATATATTTTTTAATTTTTAATATTGTACTATATATAAGCTTAAAGAATAGTTTTTCTAGTAGATCTTGTAAAATTTTTATTTCAATATCGAGTCTAAACTATTTATGCTGCTCTTGTACTTTTCCCTTTCACACTTAAATGTTGTATGCAAAAGTGTGGTATGTAAGTTTACTTACTTGTTTAATTATAAGTATCATTATATATATATATTCATACTTTTAAAAGATATAGATATAGATATAGATATGGGACACCATAAAGGATACATCATTTCAAAAATTTTGAAAAACGTAGGGTACTATTTTAATCTTACTATTTTCTTCTTCCCTAAGATGTAAGCAAAGCATTAAAAAAATTCGCTTGTATTACTTTTTCCAATTATACTCTACCACTGTGCAATAATTATTAAAATTAATTTCAAATATCAGAAATGTATCACCAAGTACTTGAGGAATATGGTATCCAATATGAATATGATTCCCTTCTAGAAGTATTTGTGCCATATGCATATGATCTATGAAAGGACTACACAATTTGTGTAGCACATTTTTAATAGAAGAATGCCCAGAACAACATTTTGAAACCTTGACAGCTCACAAACACAGGAAAAAAAAAAAAAAAAGACCAGGTGAAGGGGTCATTAATTCAATCGTCGGGTCAATCAAAGTCAAACTATGATGTCATAATTACCTCATAAATATATTAAAAACAATACTTTAATAAAAATGTAGGTATTAAATATATTTATTTAAATTATTTTTATATTTCAAGATACATATATATTAATATAAATATGTTTATTGAATATATATATAATTATATTTTGTTTGCAGAAACAATTAATTATACTTTATCTATTTGAAAGAAAATACTGTGGACATCCAAATTAAACCCGTTCCATCAACTGATGCCTTTTAAATATATGTTACTAAATAATTACGAAGTGAAAAGGTGGTGTGGTGGTTAAAATGTGGGCATACCATGTACATGGTTTATGGTTCCCTGTTCAAGCCTCCCTGTCTACTGGTTTTTACCATGTTTGGCGAATTATTTCCGACTCTTTTTCTTTGAACCAGCTACCAGCCTACCCAAATTGCATCCCTAGGGACTGGGATAGGGTGCTTGGAACTGGGA